TTATGTACGCCATATCCACAAAAGTGTAAACAATTTCTCTCATGCCCTTATTAAAACTTAGTAATTTTAATTTTATATGTAGTACTTTCAGAATTTCCATTAAATTAACTATATTAAATTCTGCCAATTGTTTAATATAAAAATCTACAATGGACTTAACTATTTGTCTGGAGACAGCCCGGTAAACATTTCCCATTATGAATATAATCGCATGCATATTTACGAAGCAATAACATTAATTAAAATTTGATTTATAATTTTAATAGAATCTTATTTTGATAAAATAATTTATACTTAAAGATAACGGTTTATACCGACCAGTTATTAGCTACTTTTAACGATTAGTGTCCAAGATTCTTAAAAAAACAAAAATTTATTAATTTGTCCTATTCGAATACTGGGCAATACTTTCCGGAAGACGGATATACAATCCAGTGCTGTCTGTTCTCAAATCTTCATATGATATCACGAATATTGGAATTAAGAACATTGTCTGTTTTATCTATTGAACAAAGTAATTTCCCAAGGCCGGAATAGATATTATTTTGGTGCAGCAAGTACATCACTTCCCCTATATCCTTCAAAAAAATGTTGTACAAAAATGGACCAATGTATGAAAGTTAAGTGAACTGCGTCTTCTTGTGAGATGGAACACTTCTGGATACATTGACTGTCCTTTAAAGCAACTTTGTTTAATGCGGGCCTTATTTAGTGTTGTATATCAAATGGATTTAGTGCTCTCTTAAGCTTATCACTTCACCTCCTTCCTCTCTTTCTTTTTTCTGCTTCCATGTACTTCTCTTTTTTCATCATCTCCATATCTATTGTTTAAAATAGATTCTAAGTCCTGTTGTATCAATAAGATGTAGTATAGAACCTACTTTACAGAGTTTTATTGCCTCTTCCGTAAGAATATATATTCCCAGGATCCTATTCTGTGTGTGCATTAGCGTAGGGCATGCTAACAGCACATGTGTTGTCGACTCTTCATTCTTTTCATTGAATCTACAGTTTGCATCCTTAGGTATACCCAGTCTTGTAAAATGGTGTTTTAGTTTACAGTGCCTTGTTAGAATACCTGTGATGATTCTAAGTTTTTCTTTTGATAGGTTTATACAATCCTGGTATCTCTTATTGTTATAGGTACCAATAAGTGATTTGGATTGTTTTAATAATAGTATATTATTCCAGTAATTCTTTTTATTTTATTTTTATGGGTGAAAGGAGTGTACTTTGTTCTAGGCTGCTCCTTTTCTGTATAGTTTGTGCAATGTTTATTTGTTTATTTAATGAGTTTTAACAATATTATTTCAAAATACATTACTCAAGTGTTTTAAGATAATTTTATTATTTTAAAAGCATTCTGATTTCATTTACAACAAAAAATTATTTATTTTTATCTTCGGAAATCATTTTGAAGTCAAAAGGAATGTTTCAATTACAGTTCGTCTCGATAGGAAATGAAGTTACTAGTGCGGATATTACAAGTAATTTTCCAATAAAAACAAAATTTATTTCTATTGAATTCTTCAATATTTTCTATGAAACATTTTTATATGATAATTAATTAAATTTCTGTTTAATTCAGTAAAAAAATACGCGTTTAAATGCCATTAAATTCATGACATTATAACTAAAATCCATTTACTTATTACGTAATATAAATAATTATTTGTATATATATATATACATTCACTTTTATTATATAATATACTTTTTGGTAAAACTTAATGGCAGTAGTACGAGTAAGGGCACTGCTGACACTGAATGTAAATAAGCAAATGCGGGCATTTACAGTAACAAAACATGCCAAAAAAGTACGGTCACGTGCAAATTTCCACGCACTGCGCATACTAAAAAATTATAAGCAGAAGAATTTGAATAATAAAACTATTGTTCGAAGCAAAAATAACTTCAAAATATTAGATATATATATTAAATAATGCTATTTTTTATGTTACATATACTTTACTTTGTTAAAATTTTGTGCAAGTGACATATTAAACCATTGTTGCTACACTGCATACTCCAGTGCATTGCATGGATTCGTAGCCAAAAGTAGCCACAAGATACAGAACATATGACAACTGCGGACCGAGCAATTCTTCTGCAAGATACTATATTCTGCATTTTATGTAGTTGACACAATTTTCAGAATTCAAACAGAAATATGCAAATTTATTCTTTGTTAATGTGTACTATTTTTAGGGGAAGTTATGTGCATAATTTCTATTTTTTTTGCAATAGATGTATCTTACAAATTAATTTTTTAAATATTACATTTAAAGAAATAATATATAATTTTTTTTAAAAAAGCAGTACCTAACAATACTAAGAAATTTAATGGTTTTAATTTAAAATTTTGTGTATTATTATTTATGTTACTTACACATCTTAAACACTTTAAACATGTTCTCATTATTACTTCTTTCAGTAATACTCATAGGTGAAGCTTATAACATAACAATGTAACCAAAATAATGTAAGAACTAATTATAGCGTTATAAGAGTTATAAGATTCAATAGACTTATGCATATAGAATTTTAATAGTGAATAAAACTGTAACAACTTTCCATTTAATTAAATTCAGTATGAAATTATTTAATTAAATTATTGGATAAACCCATAAGCAAACTATTAACATTAGGTGATATTGGGCCGCAAATGTGTTCGAAATGAAAATTAATATTAATATATTTTATATTGACCATTATTATATAATGGTATAAGAATATACCATTTTTCGGGTAATCTGATAATTCCATCGGTGTAAAATTTCTGTGGTTTATCGACGAAAAACTTGGCCAAGTGATTTTTGGCGACTCTTCGAACGGTCATTAAAAGAGTTTACAGTAACCAGGAAAATGGTAGTCTGATGATGCATGCCCTGAACTATACATTGGCTCTATATCAACACTTTTTAGCTAAGTTTCGTAAACTTGTTCCGACTCATCAAAGATATGTGTAGTCTGGCATTGTCATGAGGGAATACTATTTATTTTTTGTTGACCAATTCTAGTCGCTTTAACTTGATTGCTTCGTTCAAGTGGTCAGGTTTTGAGCAATAGTGTATTAAATTAAATCTTGTATCCAGCTGGGTAGAGTGAATCCAGCAAACTACTTCTGGACTTACAGCATGCTATTATTTTTATAATAATAAAGTATTGTACATCATATTTCCTCAGATATTTCATTCATTTTGAAACCAATATAATTTTTACATGAGCGACAAATTACACAACTATTTGAAAAGTCTCCTTTAAACTCGTGTTCATTTGACATATTCGGACTAGTGTTGTTATATATGTTAAAGGAATGGTGTTGCCATTCTTCTTAAATATTTTGTCAATCTTGACGAAATAATAACGAATACCCATATGCCTAAATATAATTTTCTTTAATTACACACATTTCTCTACATTTCCAGAGAGTTACAGTTCCTCAAGTCTGACAACGTGTACAGGCAGTCTTTTCTGATAATAACAGAAATAATTTTTTTTGTTAGGTTCAGATTTATTCGAGGAAATTATGCACCATCTACACCGCATCCTTACTCGTCCATGTTCTCAAATTTTTTTTACTAATCTTTTAGTTTACAACCAGTCACTAATAAAAATTTAATATATATATTAATAAAAAAATTCCATCCGCTTTAACATATATAAGAATAAATTCGTAGGAGATTTTTTTATGTAAAACAAATTAGCTACATTTGTTGAAGATTAAGTCAAAGTATGAAACTCTTTCCTTAAGGATATTCGTTGTAATCAATCTTGTCAAATTGGCATTCACCACAACGTTGAAGAGGATGAGGTGTAGTAAATGTTTAAAGACGGAAAGCATTTAATCACAAATTTGAAATTGTTTTTGTTTTTGTTTTTACCATTTAAGGCGACAACAATTAAAACTCACAAGGCGACCATTAATTAATTTGAGTAACATTTTTATGCAAATATCGTTTATGCCTCAACATTGGCACAAGATTTTACGAGTAAAAATAATATTAATTAATACAAAATAATAAATAATATATTCGCAAGAATAACAAATATTAAAATAATTGAATTAAATAATATTGTGCGAAAATTGAAAATAAAATACAAAATAAAATAAAATAGTTTGTATTAAAAATTGAAATTTAACGAACGGCTAAACGATTGAGCCAATCCAATCCAATCCAATTCAATCAAACATCGATTGACAGTCGAGTAAACAGTGTGAGTGCGCACGGTACGGTACGGAACGGTAAAGCCGCAAGCGGTCATAAAAATGGCGTTTATATTGTTGAGTAAAAATGGCTTTTAAGGAAAATTAAATAAATTAAAATGTGAAACAGTTCAGTGGCCAAGTGAAAGTTTTTGTTTAAATTGCACTACTTCAAAATGAGAATTGTAAGAAGAAAAACAAAAATATTTATAAAATTTTTTTTTTGTTAAATATTATCTATCGAAATCTTATAAGACAAGTTATTAGCTTAAAACTACATTAATGTAAAAAGTATCTTACATGAAAACAAGTTTCAAAATGTTTTTCCTTCTAAACAACAAACTTGACAAGTAAGCGGGTCGGAAACTGCGATCATGCGCAATCGAGTGAATAAACAAAAATATCTGATAAACATAAATTTGCAATTTTTATGCAATTTTAATCAGTGATACTGCTTAATTTATCTAAACTTAAAATATTTATGCTATTTTTTTAAGTTCAAGTTTATATGTGTAATTTATGTGCTCATGAACACATTAAAAAATCAATAAAATCCGTGAAATAATTTTTTGTTGTGCTGTGAAATTCAAAATAAATAACACATTTTAATAATTTAATTGCATTTTATTAATTTATAGTATTTTCTTTCATATTAAAATATTTTTATTGAAAATATAAATTTAATCCCTTATTATATGTTCATATTAATAATTTGTTTTATTTTTAAATATTAGAAATGCAAGCCAAAAAAGTAATAGCAAATCAATAAAAAATTAATACGAGTCGTGACATAAATAAATGAAATTAATTATACCGAAATGGTTCAATCATTTGAAATTGCAACAATAAGTGGTCATGACGAAACGGTAAATATAGATTATATAGATATAGATAATATAACTAAGTATGCAAAAAAATATCCATATGATTTTATTTGATCATTTAAATATAATTCAGTCTTATATGTGAGGTATATTAGAAAATATTAGAAAAAATAATTTTTGTGGGACATGGTCTTTAAGTGTTATTGTTGAAACTTATTTTCATAAATATATATATACAGAATCATCCTAATACGTAATTTATTTATCAGCAATTTTAATACTTATTTTGATCTAGACTTGTCATACATTTTGAACATTTTTTTTTTGTTATTTAAAAAATCAAGTTTCTTTATTATTAGTTTTTATTTAAAAATGTTAAATAATGCGGATCAATTTATATACAGTTAAAAAAAAAAATTATTCTTATGACCCATTAAATTAAAAAATAGTTATATTTAATTTAAAGATATATAACGCATTGAAGGGCAGCTTAAAAAATCTTAAAGGTACATACATTCTTAAAAAACTCGACACGATAAACTAATCCAGTAAAGTTTGTTTGCCTTTAAGTGGGTATAAAACTTTCCCATTTTTTAAGTTTTAACGGACTTGTCGAATGATTAAAAATGATTACCATCAAACCGCTGTACAAACTAAACAATACATTTTATTTAAAATAAACTGGCTGTAAATATAAAAGTTATTTGGAATATCAGTTTCTCAGTATTAGTATGTTACTATATAAACACTAAACAATTCATTTAGTTTAAAACAGAATGGCTGTCTACATATAAAAGTTATTTAAACTATCACTTTGTCAGACATCGAGTAATATGTTATGCATAGCCTTTTTAGTAACGGATCAAGTCAAGATTCAAGTTTTTTCGGAATGATTAATATCAAGTGATAATCTTTTATCCTATAAACAACATAATCCAAACTTATTTGACTATCATATTAATTATCTATTTTAAAATAAACTAGCCTCTTAGTTTTAGAGATAAAATTAAAATTTATTTTAAATTCTCCTTGGTAATGAAGTTGAATTCTTCTAAAAAGGACCAAACAGTTCAATTAACTTATATAGAGTTGAAAGGAATATTTCAAGCATTTACAGGTTTATTCGCAAGTGAAGTCGGTTATGCTGCTTTCACAGTAGGATGAATTGATTAAATAAAGTTGATTTAGAATGATTGTGTGTGCTATTTTTCCAAGACGCCCATTTTGCAAAACATTTTACTAGAGCCATCTATTTTGAGTAATTAGGTTGCCACTAGGTTGCCACTAGGTTGCCAATATTTGTCACGTTTTAAATATTAATAATCATAAATCCTAATTAATATAATAAATAAGTGAATGAATAACTATAATATTCTTAAAAGATTTAATGACAGATTTTTAATTTAAGTATAAAAGCAAATTTGGAATATAATTTTATTTTGCTTCCTAAATATATATCAAACATCATGAATGATAATTTCTAATATATCTATTTTAATATATGTATATATTGCGTATATATATAAAACTGTTAATAAACTATCCTTTTCGATTATATCTGCTCGTGATAAACAAAATCAAATTCTTCAAGACTCTAAAATTTAATTACATTTAATCAAAACTTAAAAACAAATTTAATGTATTAAATTCTAAGACACATCACAGAAGAAAAGCAGATCCTTTAGATCCAATTTTATGATTAAAGAAATACTTACATATATATATAATCTATAAAGAAGAATAATTTCAATATGATGTTTTCTCATATTGAGAGTACCAAGCTAGAAGCAGAGTGTGTGATTTTGTTCACATAATTTCGGAATAATATTTTTACTTTCGTATAGCAAAGTCACCAATACACGTGTTATTAATCTTTTTTAATAAAATTAATATTAATTAGACAGACAAAGCAACAAATAAAAGAACCCGTTTATCATTGCTGAATGATGGTGAAATGTATTGCAAGTCTGCACTGACATTAATGGATTATTCTTTTGTGTTTGACACTTTAATGTGTCTACAGCTTATTTTATCTCGTGCAATATTTTTACTCAGTTTATTGAAGGTCCTTAATACTTGAATTAATTTCCACAAATTTCAAGTGCAAAATAAAAAGAAATGTCAAATTATGAAAAATAAAAATTGCTTTTACTTTTTATTTGCACTCCCAATACATAAGCGAAATAATTACTTATTAAGAACTAAAAACAATATATAATATATAAACTCTTTATAATTTCTTTCTGTCATTGTAGCAACTTCTCATTGCAATTTTATAAAAATCTATAATATAATCGAATATTTTCCAAAGTTTAATACGTGCAATAAATTTTTGAAGAATTATGAACGTTTTCCCCTTTTTATATAAGTATTAATAATAAATTGTTATTTTAGATTCATCTTAAAAAATAAACCAATTCATATATTTAAATAATTATATGTTTAAGTATTAGTGAACCTGATCCCTACCACTCACTAGCTTGCATACAAGTTTTTATAGGGGCCAGTGGAAATTTAGAAGATAGCACTTGCTTTTAGTTGATTTGAATATTTGTAATAATTTCAATATTTAAAATTATTTAGGATGTTGCTTTTTATTTGACTAATATTTTTAAAAAAAATTAACAATAATATTTTGTAGCTAATAATATTGAATTTGCAGCCAAATTATTATTCCATTAGCTATTAACATACTTTAATTATCTCGTTATAATCTAATGAATAGACAATTTCATCTAATTAACCACTTTGAAAGGTAATGCAATTGCAGAGAATATTAACAGACTCCTTATCAATCACATCAATTAAATTATTATAGAAAAGGGATTGATTATATTTTAACATTGCAGTAGTTTAATTGGATGAACAAATTTGATTTGCAAATATTGAAGAGCCTGATACAATTCGCTAAATAGTTATAATAAAAAGTAGAAACACAAATTTTATAATAATGAATTTTATATTCTATGTCTATATAAAAATTGCCTTATATCAAAAAATTAGAAATATGATGCTTTTATTTTATTCACATTTTGTGGCATCATACTTTAGTGCTTTTAATTATATCCTTAACAAAAAAAAAAGAAGAAAGCTTTATCTATACAGTTATTTTAATAAGTTGTGGGTAAGAATTACACCAAAAAATTATGGAGATCAAAATATTCTTTAGATACGGACTATAATTTACAGCAAACAAAAGGCTGAGTTAGAGAACCCATACATGTACAAATAGCTATTAATCTTAACTACAATTTAAAATTGTTTACATTCTATAAAATGAAATCAGTTACTATATAATAAAACCAGAAAAAAGACAGTATAAAATTTGCTCACGGCCAAACATATATTAACATTTAAAGCAACCGAAATTTGCTGCAGTAGGTGGAAAGTATCGAAAACCACAGTGTGAGACTTGAGCCCACTAAAACCACCTCTTAGGAATGAATATGGAAGATACAACTCCATTCCAGAAATGAGAGCAATAGGTTTAATACCTAAAGGACTAGGTTCATCTAAGCCAGAAAGCATTGGCGTAAAGCACGAAAATTTGGGTATTAATGAAGGAGGCGGGGTTATTGTGCAAGCGCAAGGCTACTAGCGGTAGACACGAGTCACGAGAGCCGAAGTTGAAGAAAGGGATTATGGAGAGATCTGAGTCCCACTCATAGAGGTAAAGGGATAGGTATTGGGGAGGCTTGTCCGCAGGGCGGGTGCTAGTGACCGTGATGTCAGTGGGGCGGTTGTGTAGCTGCGTGAGGTATCTTTGAGCGAGTGAGAGGAAGTACTCGTCCATGGGAATAATTTTGGCAGAGCATTGAAGGACAAAGTTGCTACAAATCCCTTCAACTGAAATAAATTTTATTAAGAAAAATATAAACAAAATAAAAAAAAAATATAATTCTGCGTTATTTAACAAAACATTTATTATTATAATTCTCAGTTTCTCTGTTTATACATATATATATAAGAAGTTTGTTTCAGGAAATTGACTGTAATTAGTTCTCATTTATATTTGAAGTTAAATTAGTTTGATTTGGATTGGAAGTGCTTACCTTGATACAATACTGTAAACAATTTTAATTGTAATTAATTTTATATGTGTTTTTACATCTGAACCCATTAAAGTGTGTTATGTTTTTCAGATAACATTAATATTATAGACCACATATTTAGCGATATATTGCTAAAATACACTTTAATATCGCAGTTCTCATTAACATACAATTTTGAGAAAACTAAATAACGACAAAAAGCAATCTTGTTTTTGTGTTTTTTGTAAATACATATGAAAAGCTTTAACATAACTTATGTGATAGGTAGGTCTGTGATATGGAATAGAATTACAATGAATATATATTGTTTGTTTGGTCGAGAAACGCATAAGTATGAATATATAACTAATTCTCAATAATGTCTCAAATATCTTATTAGATTCCCCTTCTAAATATAAATAATTTTAAATGTACGCTCACGCCTTTTATAGTCCATTAGTCGAATAATGAATGAAATCAATCTCTTCTGAATCGTACAGACATCTTAGACGAACTCAGTTGTCTTTTCGTTTAAGTCAGGGCTGCCCAAAGCACGGCTCACAGGCACCATGCGGTCCGCGGGTAAATATTTGTGCGGCCCGTGACATGTTTCCAATTCACCACAATTAGGCAAATTTTTCTTTGGTATATTTTAGTAACATTACATTACATTATTTTATTTTTATAGTATCCTAAATAAATGAATTCAAATGTTTTAAATAATTTATTACAGTTGACGTTCATTTACTAAATTGACAAAAACTTCTTTATATATTTCTTTGTACAATTGATTTAAGAAACTTATATCCAGTGCCGTAATTTATTATATTGAAAATAAGATATTTTTCGTATGCCCACAACTAATATTAAAAATGTTGATATTGATAAAATTGTAAAAGATAAATTAATGAAGAACCAATAAAACTAAATTTTAATATTATCGCCGTATTTTCATTTTGCTACGGCAAAATTATGAACGTATGTATTTATTTCTGCGGCCTCCCAACCTATTTAGTGATTTGAATTGGTCCGCGGTTTTATCAGGTCTGGGCAGCTCTAGTTTAAGTTATCGGTCTTAGTGAAATGTTAGTTAAAAACAGAGCACCAACATCCACGCTATTTGTTTCTTGGAGAATTGTTACTCTCTAAATCTGAATCTTTTTTGGGAATTTTGAAATAAAAACTAACCTTGTTTTGGAAGACTATCTTTCGATAAATGTGTTTAATACATTTTATAGTTACTATCTTAGTTACATATTTATTTATTTTAGAACACATTTGTTATAACTTTGTGCAATTATTGGATTTTATAAATAAAAAAGCTTCGTTTAAAAGGAAAAAGGAAAGAACACCTTTCCCAACTAAAACCTAGCAAACGTTCCCGAGATTAAGATGCTCGCTACCGTCTCCAAGTGAATCAACACCTACACATTCAGACACATAATTTATTTAGTTTTTATATATCGAAATATACTTCAACAGCAAAAGAGATTAAATATCTTTCACAAGGTTAACGTATGACTTAAAAAATGATGAATAATGCAAATATCATAACACAAAGTAAAATCTTAAATTTTTAAAATAAAAAGAAAATTTGCTTTGGCTTTGCCGAAGTTTTAATACACTTTACACAAAAAGTTTGAAGTAAATTATTAACGTTTATTATACCAAATACAGTTGTGCGATATTATATATTTTGTGATTCGGAAAGATGATATAAACAAAAAAAACTTTTATAATTGAGAGAGGTCAACTAAATTTTTATTTCAATATATTGTTTGAACTTTACCATAAGGTGTTAAATAGAGCATTGTTAAAATGTTCTTGTTAGGAGATCCTACAATATTGGATTTTTTCGAGGTAGTTTTCTATGACTCTTGGACACATGGGTCTGCCCGAGCTTCGTTATTAAAGCGTCGATTTTTTGAGAATTGTCCTGACAAAGAAAGTTCAATGGTGTCATAAATGCATAATTTTATTGACCAATTCCAAAAAACAAAGTTCGAAATTACACGTCGAGAAAATCACACATTCTCATGCACTCAAACCAAGAAAATGTGTGATTTGCGGTATAGTTTTGCTGAAACTCCATATCTTTAATTTGACGCCAAATAAAATTCGGCAATTACACTTCCACAACAAACACGATTTTTCGTGGCTTTTCTGAAATTCTTTGTTAATTTTTACTGTTCCAGATCCGAAAATCAGAAAATTAATCTCAAAACTAAAAAATAATATTAATGGGTATGGCTGGTAGACGACCTAACAGTTATACAGAAATCTTATTTGACAGACAGGCATTGTTGAATCTGTTCATTTTACAATTTTAGTTATAAACATATGTAGTATATGGTTAATATACATTTTGACCCATCCTTGAGAGAGTTACAAAGTCATTAATAAGCTTAATTTATACAGTACTCAATTCATAATGGTGTGTAGAGGATACTAAACCGAAAACTCTTAACATATTCAAATAAATTTTAAACTTCTCTTGAACTACAACTATACTATATAAAATGTGAAAATCCTTGGAAAATAAAGAATTCTATTACGCTTAATGCAGCTCAAAATTTCAGATCTTAAAACTAAGAAGTTTATTTATTTTTTATTATGTTTTACACTACCTTGACTTTGAAAAATTTCATCTTATTTTGCTAGATAAATCAATATATTCATTCTAGTGTGAAAAGCGGAGTAATGAAATTGTTTTACTTTCAATTTGTACATACTTCCGTTAAAACTTTTAGGAAAATGTTATAAAAAGTATTTTAACGTAGATCATGACAGAAATTTCAGGGGTTTTTTTTATCACCGTACATAAAAAGAGCATTCCATACGAAAGGATTTAGAAAACATTGTGTTGAAATGCTATAATTGAGGCACGGAAATTATACTCTTGTATTTTTGCTTAGACTAAAAATATAAAGAAAGACTTATATAATTAATTGTATAAAATTGAAAAAATTAAATCATAGCACTTAAAAATAAGTTATTTAGTTTTTGTACATAAAATATATACCAGTATTAATTTATTATTCTTTTTTCTTCCAGGACCAAACAACGCGTTCTAAGCCCTCTGCTTTTAGGCGTACATTTAATGCACTGCGTAATCGATTAACGAGGCGAAGCCGTCCCAAACCGCCAGACTGGTTTTTAGAGAAATTTTCTAACACCACAAATACGGATAAAATTGGAAAAACTGAGGCGAACACAAATCCTCAAGGCTCCACTTCGAATGATGATGGACTGGCATTTGAAATACGCGGCACAAGCTTACTATGTAATCGTTTGTCAGTTAATACTGCTTTAGAATCACATTATAGGGTAAATATTTTATTTATTTTTGAAAATATATCTTTAACATTAATTAACATTAATTTTACTATAATTTACTTAAAGTGGCTTGCAGTCGTTTCTTTAGCTGTTTTATATAATTTAATTTTTGTTGTTTGGCGATCTGTATTTTGGGAAGTAAATAACCATGCAACTGGTCTTTGGTATGTCTTGGACTACTTATGTGATTTTATTTATATTGTAGACATATTGGTTCATATGCACGAAGGTGAGTCTAATAAGATAATAATTATTAATTTTGTTTTCAGAATACAATTGTCTGATTTCTGTTACTATATGATATTATTATTCTTAGAATGGACAATGGTACACTTTGACTTTTTAAATCTATTTTGCTATCATTGAAGAGAGTCTTCTAAGTCAGCCTGGTTCAAATAAAGTTATTGACAATTCAAACAATATCTGTTGATTCTATACACCAAACCATATTCGTTTTAATGAAAGTCAAATAGAGAAACGGGAATAATTTGTCTTATTTCCGGTGGCCGGAAATTTGACTCAAAATTTTACAGATACCGCAAGAATCGGCGGCAATTGATAGAAAGCTGTCACATTTTTTTAACTTGAATAGGCTGTTTGGATTGCTTTACACTATTGTAGTCGACCTAAAACCTTTCTCGAATAGCTTATTTCAATATTTTTAAGTACTGATGCAATCTAATAAAATTATGACTTATAAAAAGATTCGGGTTCTGTAAAGGCAAACAGTATCAATTCGTTTATGAGTTTGACAGCTGGTATGTAATATTTTAATCTCTCGTGACCAGGTATCTATCTACGTATCACACTCTTGCACGAGATTTTTGCCTATTCTGATCAACTTGGAATCGGTAGTCCAAGATAGGGTAATTTTATAACTGCTTGAATTCATGCACAAAGTTTTCAGGCATTTTATAATATAGATTACAATGGCATGTACTTCTAATTCAAAACTTTTAAAACAAATTCACATTGAAATAATTATATTGACTATATGAATGAATGACTTTATCATGAACGTCAAAACCATTTCATCCGTTTTGAAGTCGAGTTTTATATATACTATAAAGGGGTCTATAAAATCTGTATTTGTATTTATTTTAATTAAGAATTATTGTTTTAAAGTGTTAGGAATAGAAGTTGCTTTGAGGTATATTATCTAACAAAGAAAAGCCAAGGTCTGCAGATGCTTTTGCAGATTTTGAAGTCACTCTATATTTATGTACAGTGTTTTTAATGCAGAACGCGCCTACATGGCAATAGTTGGAAACGTGTTTACTTTACAAGTAATGCCTATACAAGTTACTCTCTGTAGTCTACACAGTGCCTTTTGTATACTTTAATGTTCGGTTTTTGACTATCATGAGACAGCTCCATTGACGATCTAGACTTTAACGTGACAGTATATAATATGCAATTTATTTATACAAGGATATATTACAAGGATACATTTCATTTCATTTTAATTCGGCTTAAAACAAAACTTTTTTTTATTCAAAAATTTAGTTAAAATCAGCATAAATCAACCAAATTATTTTTCTGAGTATAACATATTAATGTCAAGAGAAAAAACTTATAATTTTTCTTCAAAGTAAGAATGGATTAAAATTTCATATTAGATATTTTCATGCATCGTTATATAATTCCAATGTTATTTTTCTGTAATTTTACAGAGTACTATAAAATTATGACTTTGTAAAAAAAATTCCACAATGACAATAACTTTTTTCTTGAATTCCTTTGACTTCTTCCACAAATGCACCCCATGAATAGTCATTTGCAAAAGCCTCTCAAAAATAACCTTGGCATTTAAAATGAAAATTTTCAACTCTTTCGAAGAAATTTATTAGTAAAATGCTGTAAAATATTTTTTGTAGATTGACTATTGTTTTTGCTGAGAATATTTCTTTATATATTATTAAATTCCATATTGTACGAAAAGACATTCTGAAAGTAAAATATATTCGATTCGATTATTTTATTTGATTGGAATTTTACTATAAGATGTAACATTTTAAGTTTATTAAATTTACCGTATCAGTCTTTAAACATTTAAACATTATTAAACATTATTTATAAAGAAATTAATAAAGAAAAATTAAATAAAAATATATTTCCAATTATAACAGGTTACTTGGATCAAGGTCTTCTAGTACGCGATGCATATAAATTAAGACGTCATTACTTCAGTCAGAAAGGTTGGATAATTGATTTCCTTTCCGTGTTTCCTACAGACTTAATGTATATACTGTGGCCCCCACATTCTTGCAATGAGACATTTTTACCATGTCCAATTATCATACGGTTAAATCGTCTCTTACGAGTACCACGTATGTGGGAATGGTTTGATCGTACAGAAACTGCAACAAGCTATCCGAATGTATTTCGCATATGCAAAGTTGTGCTGGCAATATTGGTGCTGATTCATTGGAATGCTTGCATGTATTTCGCTATCAGTTATGAGATCGGCTTCAGTACAGACAATTGGGTATATAATCTCAATGGCACACGCAATCACACTCTACACCGTCAATATATCTACAGCTTTTATTGGTCGACATTAACACTAACAACAATTGGCGAAACACCGACACCAGAAAATGATGCTGAATATTTATTCGTCGTGGCTGACTTCTTGGCCGGTGTACTGATATTTGCCACCATTGTGGGTAAGTCTAAGCAGGGAATAACTGATTTTATTGACTTTTTCCTTTTCTCTCTGTACGTTTTAATTTATTTTTATGAGTATTCGTTTTCATTTGTTTTAGTTAGTCACTTAATTTGTTTTATTATGGAACATACTCAACTTGTTATTAGCTAGAACATTGTGTGCTCGTCTCGCATACTAGGCAAGTTGTGTAAATAAGTTATTTGTATTTTGTCCTTAAAGTTATTGGCTTACTGTGCAAATATATTCCAAATGATGAATTACAGTTTGTTGACCTAAATAATGTTTGTAATTTTGTTATACGAAATTTTTTGGCATAGAATTCCGTATACACGCACAGGAAGGATTAATGAGCAACACGTACGGTTAACAACTTTGTTGACATTAACTTTTTGCACGGATCATTAAGTCAAATGATTATGACAATAAATTTAATAAAATGCCAAGAATATTGTCTCAACTGAAATTAAACCAATAAATTTCACACCCAAAACGAATAAAAAACTTTATGCACAATTTGTCACATTACATACAAATCCTTTGTTTCTGTCTTAATTGAATTCTTCCTCTTTATTTTACCTCTGCCAGGTTAGTGTATAATACAGTATTTTGCATAAAAAATTTAAAAATCACTTGAAGTCGTTTTAGATAAGAATTTATGAAGATCAATAACAATTTTATTTCATGCCTTAAATAAAATAGCGTACTTTGTTTGAAATCATTTAACTTAATGAAACTTGAAAAATTTATCGCAGGAAATATTGGCTCAATGATTTCCAATATGAATGTGGCACGAGTAGAATTTCAAAATCGAATGGATGGCGTTAAACAATACATGGCCTTTCGCAAGGTAGGTCATGAATTGGAAGCACGTGTAATACGTTGGTTCGCTTATACGTGGTCGCAGAGTGGAGCATTGGACGAGGAACGCGTATTGTCAGCACTGCCCGACAAGCTCAAAGCGGAAATTGCCATACAAGTACACATGGAAACATTAAAACAAGTGCGTATTTTTCATGACTGCGAGCCTGGTCTACTAGAGGCCTTGGTTTTAAAACTCAAATTGCAAGTATTCAGTCCGGGTGATTATATTTGCCGCAAAGGTGATGTTGGTAAGGAAATGTACATTGTGAAGCGCGGTAAATTATCGGTTGTGGCGGATGACGGAGTTACTGTATTTGCTACATTGGGTGCTGGTTCTGTTTTTGGTGAGGTTTCAGTGCTTGAAATAGCCGGAAATCGTACTGGCAATCGACGTACAGCAAATGTTCGTTCCTTGGGATACTCGGATTTGTTTTGCTTAGCGAAACGAGATTTGTGGGAAACGTTGGCAGATTATCCGGAAGCGCGTGCCACACTCACAGAACGTGGTTGTCAACTACTGCGTAAAGATGGTCTACTTGATGAAGAAGTATTTGCTGGTAATTAATTTGTATTGAAATATCATTTTAATTTCACATTCAATGTTTATACATTATTTACTTTAAAGATTCACAACGTGCACCTGATCCTATTGAATTTGGCATTGAAAAATTAGAAAATTCAGTGGAAAATTTAAGTTATCGTCTGGCGCGTTTACTCGGTGAGTACGCTGCAAGTCAGGCAAAATTAAAGCAAAGACTGGCCAAACTAGAATTAAAGTGAGTACTCAAAACAACTTAAAAATATCGGTAATTATATATTAATTTTTTTAATTTTATTTTACTTTCTTTTCATACTTAGTTATCAAATTAAATATTCCTCAATTACTGGGTTAAGTGATGAGCCACAGACACGTGGTCGCAGTGGCCGTCTGTATTCATTGCAACCTAAAAGACGTACAAGACCGCGTCCTGCCTCAGCAAAAAGAACAGGAGATATCAAACAAAACACGTTATAAATTTTAATATATTGTATATTATGAAATATGTAACATATTTTTTAATTTAAAAAAAAAAAAAGTGCATTCATGCGTTTTTGTATTTGTGCTGAATGTAGTAGATTCATCTAATTTCTACTTAACGTACCTTGTGCTGGCATAAAACCAAACCGTGTGATAAATTTAATTGAACTATTCATTAAAAAATGCAAAAATAATTTTCTTACTTTTAGATGTTTTCTCTAAATCGTAAAGTAATTTTATTAGTTTTTACTATACATTTTATATAATTCTAAAATTCAAAATAGAAATTACTGTCTTGTAAGATTAAGATGTAAAGAAAAATATATTAATGAATGCATTAATGTTAACAATTCCATAGCTTTAAGTTAGAAGCAACCTACACTAAAAATAGATAAAGTTTAAAAATAAAAAACAATTAAAAATAATGAAATGTCATTTACAGAAAAAAAAATTAAATGTAAGTATGTATTTACATAATGTGCCTAAATGAATAAAACAGTTTGTATATAATTTGTAATTATATTAGTTTCCTTAAAAATTAAAAATTATTTAATTAAATTATTATAATTTAAAGAAAGAAACTTAAATAATGAAACGAAAACAACAAGAAAAAATAAGATATTTTATTGATATATTAAATATATCACATATAAGCATAACAATAAGAAAAGCAACATATAATATTGTTTACTTTTAAGTTAAAAGTATAATCAAAACAATATAAAACTCCGACCAACTACATTGAATAACTTAACATAATAGAACTTTAGAATCAAACTCCTATAGATATATAAAAAGTAATTTTCTAAAATATATTGAGAATTTTTCTATAATAGAGCTCTAGAAACGAACTTCTATAGTTAATTGAAAAGTTATATTCTGAAATATATTCCAATTATAGCTTAGTTTTATGTTCACCAAATATCATACATGAACGTAAATTTATATAATAGTTGAACCTTATGCATAGTTAAAATAGTTGATGTGGGTTTATTATTAACTAACATCTCCTATTCTGATTTTGTAGTAGGAACTTTAATAAAAAAAAACTATGCAACACAAAATTTTAAAATTGCAACCTAAAAATCACTACAATATTCTATCAATCGATTTTTGTTGTGATTTATGTACAAAAACACATCGAATGGTACCTGCTTCAGTTAGGGACGAATTAATAACGCTAAATAAGGGACACTAAATAATTATGAAAGAAAAAGTTGACTAAAATGTTCTCTTATATTCAAACTTAACGATTTTTATAGAACAATCTTTCTCAATCCAAAACACCCTAGAAATTGAAATTCCATATGTTTTACAAGAGTCGGCAAAATATTAATGTATTTTGCAAAAATCGGTATAAATATCTTTCCGATGGTTGTAACGTTACTAAACCTTCGGTCGAGAAACTTTGGTGTAGAAGAAAAGCATCTTGATAATATAATCTACAGCTGAAAAACACTGTCCAAAAAATAGTAGTATATCCGTTCCTTGTATTTAATACGCTCCTACTGTAAATGATGTATTGAAACAATTTAAATCATCTTATTAGTTCTCCGAATGCTGCAGCCCAGCCATTTTTTCATTTGTCTCAGAATCCACAATAGGTAATAAGGGTCCGCGAAAAGGCCTTAATTTCAACTCATACAAAACTTTATATCTCTTTATATGAATGAAGGTCTAGTACTGACTGCTTTTCTCCAAATAATAAACTTCAAGTTTTCTATAGTCTTGTTTACTGACTGGTGTTCCTCAATGTACCATAATACCATTTACCTAACACGTTATAATATGAGTACAAAGAGTACAAGTATAAAGGATTAGTATTAAAAAATAATAAATACAGAAGAAAATTGTACCTAACTACTTCACATTAATATACAATTAAGCTAAAATTTTATTTGTTTTTGAAATATTAATACCAAAAAATTTAAAAATAGTTAAATATATATATATATATATATATGAAGGTGCGATAAATTATTGTAATATTATAAAAAATGAATCTAAATTCTTCTTTGTATATATCATCACAAAATATTTTTTAAATATCCAAGTATATTTATATATATAATATATATATATGTATTAATATATTATAAAATATTAAATTATATATATATATATATATATATATATAAAACATAACAATATTTGTTTATTTTTAATTAAACTTTTCATTTTATTTTGACATTAATATTGATATATATTTATTGAGATAATATAATTAGTATGCATATCTTTATGAATAAAACGACTTCAAAAAAATAGTAAACAATTGTAATTAATATAAAAACTCTTAAAATGCTGAATATTATTTAAAACTTACTTTTTCTTGTGATAGATAAAAAAATATGTAACAATTTCAAATTTTAAAAATTAAAATTAATACAAAAAAAAAAAAAATATTTAACACTTTAACACTTTAAATATAAGTTAAATACTAAAAATATTAAAATCTTTATATTTTTTTTAACTAAAATCCTAAATTTATTTTAAAATGCATATAGATTTAGAAAAGGAAATGTTTAAAAGTAGTGAGTTGTTTAATAACTATATATTTGATTGAGAGAGATACTGGTTTCATTCTGAGTTATGATAAAGTGCTCATATTTATATATATTACATATATTAAAAATTGCGTCTACGTAATGGTGGATTGCTTTCCTGGTTAGAGTTTTTAAAACTTAAATATATGTATTTTTCTGTAATATTATATTTAACACTACTTAACTCTTAAGCTCTACTCTTACCTCTTACTTTCATTTAAATACACTTTTAAATAATTCTATCTCTATGACTTAGTTTGTAATAATAAATATAAAAAATGTAAACATTCAAAAAACTTAAAAAGATTTTTAAATATACATTTTATAAAATGTAGATATAGGTATATATGTAATTTAAGAAAAAATTCTATATATTTTTAATTAATAAATTAAATAATCTAAAATTATTAGTTAAAGAAATTAAAATTTACTTACGTATACACTATTCCAAAATTAAAATATTTTTATATTAAGACTTATTATAAGTGAACAAAACGTAAATAATAGCATTAATTGATATATGTATTATTTATTTATAATAATAATGAAATAAAGAACATCTTTCATACAAACATACAAGATGTGTTGTTAATAATAAAAATGTTATTAGAAAATTTCCTTACTATATTTTTTGTTCTTTATAGGACTACTATACATCTATACATCTTCAACCGTGATTTATTGCACTGGATTTTATTTTAATATATTTAAATTCAATATTTTAAATTCAGTTTAAACTAAAAATATCAAATTTTTATCCCCATTTAATGGTAAGCAAACTGAACGACTAGTGATAAGCTTAGTAATGGCTTTGAATTACGATATACACCATGAATAACTTTTAGAACTAAATTAACACAAATTACAAAAGAATTTAACAAAGAGGTTTTTTGAAAAGTAGTGAACTATAACAACAAAAATTCATTTTTATATTATTTTAATTAATTGAATTTTTGGCAAATACACATCGTCAGTGGTCCCCAAAATAATTTTGTATTTAATTATTCGTAAATTATTTTTTGAGACTGCAAGTACCAGGAATCCAACTCGTGCCCTGCCAAATTTGAAGCACAGAGTCAGTGCACCTTAACCAACGGTCCTAAAGCCTTACCTGACTTTTATGTTCGCACATTTTCTGGAGTTTTGTTAAATTACTGTGAAAGTTTTATTAACAAATTCACTTGCTGTGTTTATATTAGATCGAAATCATAAACCAGCTGTAGAATTATTGAATTATTTAGTTATATTTTTTAATTGTTAAATTTCTATACTATACTATTTATAGAGTAATTATTTGTTGACTGATTTATATACTCTTTGTTATATATAGAATCTTATCTAGGAATGCAATACTGAGAAAGTCATACTAATGTTACTCAACGATTCGCACGGGCGAGACTAATATTTTGTGAATATAAGTTGTAACATAATTAAGTGTCAATTTTTCAGACGGAAATGACTATTATATTTAATAGAAACTAGTAAATTTCATAAAGAGGTTTTTCGAATAGTAGTAAACTACAACAACAAAAATTCATTTTTATATTATTTTAATTAAGTGAATTTTCGGCTGACCTAATTTAATATCATATATTATTTTCATTTAGATAAAATAAATTCAAATGTATAAATTAAGTTGCTAAGGACGATATGTATTTTTAAAAGTTCAATTTTTTTTTTCATTATTATATTTAATATTTAAGTTACCTATGATTTTTTAAATAATGCTTCACTTTTTGCAAAAAATTATTTAATTTTCTTATCAAAACATATTTTTACTTCTCCTTCGCATTAACACATTTATGAATATTTGTACTTACATAAATTTACTTATGAAAGTAAACTTTCATTTAACTTTACTTTCTTTTTCTTTAAAAATGTCCTTCTTGTGAATTTCGCTGAAAAAAATAATTGATGTTAATTAAGTGATAAAATACACGTGTTGTGTATTACTGCTGGGTACAGTGGTGAAATATAGGTCACCTAAAGTAATATTAACACAAAATGATGGCTTTTGTTTTATTTAAAAAAATAAAACAAATTTTGACATTACATGTCACTTAAACGAACAATGTAATAAAAAATATATATTTTATTAGAGCTTATTAGTCTGCAATAATGATTTGTGATTGATTGTATGGAAGTATGTATGGTGACTTGAAGTCACCAACAAAACCACACCAACGGAAATTTTACAGGCTTCCAGAAAACTTAGTGTGTAAATTAAATAAAAAAAAATTAATTTTATAGAAAATATTTATTTATTTTTTTTAAATTTTTATTTGACATAAAATAGCAAAAAAAATATAAATAAAAACATAAGTATTTGGGAAAACAAAATGCTTATTTGTATTCTTTTCAATTTCAATAAACATCTTTTGTTAGGAGTCACATTGTTCAATGTATTGACACATTTAGGTCATGTGACGAATTATTGCCATTTGAATATTGTTTGCCAAAATATTTGAAGCAAAAACAAAAGCAAGTTCAATAACTCAGTTGTAATGTTACAGTAACTCGTATATATAAAAAACTTCATTTGATATTGCTGTGAAGGTTCAATATAAGAGAAAGACAAACCCAGATGAGGCGGCTGTACGCATTCTGAATTTGTAAGAAATTTTGACACAGATGTGTAAAATGCTGATGATTCCATAATGATGAAATGCTTTGTGAAAATATGTTTAATGCACACATTACTTCCTTATATACATATAATATATATATATGTATGGTTTCGTTTTAAGATGGAAATATTGATTCAATCAACTTAAAATACTTTATATAAGATTTTTATTTCAAAGTAGCTGCAATAAGAATTAAGTTCAATATACTTATACTTGGTTGGAGTACTAAAACTCGGATCAATGTTTTCACATCAGTATATAATTTTTTATTTATTTAAAATACAAAATAATAATAATATTATCAGTAACAAATTTGAGAATTATTTTTAAAATAAAAAAAGCTAAGTTCATACAAACCAAAAAAATAAATTTTTTCACATTAAGAAGTATTTAGTATGAAACAATTTCATCTGGTGTGCATATATTGATTTTATATATACCGGATAACAAAATATATAAAAGAATTGTTCTAATTGTTTGCTTTACGAATTGTAATTTACTCTGAGTAAATCAAAGGGTTTTCAATGCTTTTTATAATATTATTTATTATTTTTTTTATGTACTTTACTAAAAAAGTATTTAAAAAATCCCATTCAGATTAAAGATTTAATCTTTAAATACTTAAAGATTAAATCTTTCTAGTGTTTGCTAGAATTTGAAATAATTTTGTAATAATTTTTCCTCCAAATATATTATTAAGTCGTTTTCCCGAAAGTGTCAAAAGGATAACTTAATGAATAAACTGCAAGCAAAAATGTTCGCACTTGATTATCTTTTGTATGTGCTGCAGGGTACAAAATTTCGTTGGGTTTAATAAACTCATATTTAAGATTGACGTAGACTGAAGAACCATTTTGCTCAAATGGGACTAGTCACTCGTAACATTTGTAATTTTGTAACCACATTCATTAAAGGTGTCTGTTATTTTACAAGAATGAGTGTTTTCCATCTTCTGTTGGGTTTGAGAGTTCGTGTTTTTGTAGAGAATTTATATTTATTGTAAAATTGGGCTAAAAAAATTTTTATTATAAATCTTATTTAAAAGTATTAGTTACGTGAATTGATTGTGGGAAAAATTTTTGAAAGTTATGTCCTCACATCAAACTGTCTTACTGATAATAAATAAACTCTTAGTTTTAGAAAAGTTGTATTGTTAAAGTTTGTGTAGTTATATAACATATGTATATGTAGTTAAATCATCTAACAACACTTTTCAATTATTGACTATTCAAATAATATAAAGTAAGCACAATTTTAATAAAAAATACTTTTAACTTGCTATTTCATTTCTTCTACTAGTTCTTCTTCTAGTCCAAAGAAAGGACTTCTACCTTACTACTAAGGAGAATTCCGTTCAATTTAGTTCATGCTTCTGTTACTGTATTTGGTGTTATATTGACAAAGAAAATTGTAGTCTATTTGGTTTTATCTAGAAGCAACATTCAACTAGCGTAATCAGATTTACTTAACCAATCCATTATACTAAAATCAATAAGTCTTTTGTTAATAGTTAATTAAAAGCTTTCAGAAAAAGAGGCGTTAAGATATTTATACAATTCTGATGAATGTTAAACAGTTTCTTAATAAAAATTTAAAATTAATTTACTCAAAGTTAAGTTTTATTAAAAATATTTTCATTATTAGCAAAGCTATCTAACTATTTTAACGCACAAAGAAGAATAAATTCTGAGTTAGTCGGTACGTAAAGTAAGAACTTAAGCGAACTTTAGTCAAAGCGAAATGCACAAGCAACCACACCTGTATGGGATATTACATAATTATGTTTCAATTTCATTAAGAAGAAAATTATTATCATATAATTGGAACGTAAATTTTTTAACACCCATGTTCAATAAATAATAACATGATATGAAACATACACGTAGTGCTACCACCAGTTCCAAAGTTATAGCAGTTGAAAATTATTTGCAGTTCAATTGGGACTGACTAGAGTCTAATAACTCTCAGCGATATATTAAAAGATTATTTTAACTAAACAAATTTTAATGATTTGATGAACTTATAACAAATTTTAATTACAACAACAAAACCACAAACACTACAAATCTAAAAAAAATTACAAATATAGCAAGAAATAATTGAGAGCACACTGTATGAATTACTCCCAATACTCCCAACAGTCATTAAAGTGAGACATTTTGGTTTAAAGAAAATTAGTTTAAATTCCAAATACCATAGAAAACAATGATGAGACTTATGCGGTTTAGACATTATCCATTTTGAATTTAAATTCTTTGGAAAGTGTGTCACGCAAAATTATACTCCAGTCAATTTGTGTGAAAGTATGTCGGCAGATGTTTAGGACACTTGGTTATCATCTATTTATGGCATGAATGCTGTCAAAACTATTTAACCAATGTTCTGCGGTTTTGTTAAAATTGTCAAGAGGATTCAGTGAATTGTAATGGTTTTTGAAAGAGTTGATTAAGTTTAATTTTGCTAATAATAATATATTATTATTTTACAATCAAATATGAAAACGAAATATAACAAAAATATTAATCAAATAGTTTAAAAATTTACTCCTTAATGAATCAAGTATATAGCAAGTATACAGTACATATATATCCGCAAGTAAAGAATATATGATTACGAATGTACTAAAATTTTGTAAATATTATTGTTCACATACTAATTTATTTCATATTTTTCTGTTACAATTTAAAGTTGTTACTAATTTAAAAAAAAAAAACAAGTCTAGAAGGACATAGATTTTTAATCAAAAAAATAAATAATAAATATAGATATGAAAAAAAATCTATAATAAGCTTTTAAAAAAAATGGTTTTTGGCTTCTTATATTTTTTATTTATTGTGATATACTTCAAAGACATTAAATGGATCAAAAAAATGATGTGCACTATGTACGATGCCTCAAATGCCTCAAAATTTTAAAATGTTCGCGTTTCGATACAGTTTGTTTGCTTGAACATATTAGAAAGGATCACCCTGAAATACAAGTTGTTTCAAATTCAGGCCATGGGCAATCTATTGATAAAGACTATCCGCAATCAAATAAGTTATCTGTAACAAAATCTTTACCGGAAAGTAAGTCTAAACTTTTGAAAGTAATGTATAATGCTAAATATTCAAAAGAAGTTATTTTATATGTTTAAAGATGCAAGAAGTCCAGATAGAAATCCAGAGGGTGGTATGCAGTCTTGTACAAGGCCACTGACACCGCAGGGCCAAAGCAATCAAGAAGCATTGCTTCATCCAGATAGACGAATGTCTGATCCAGGCAAAGCGAGTCCTAGAAATGATCAAGCAACATTTAACGATGACACAAATGTTATTTACCAACGACGCAATGATAATTGTCAAAGAAATCCTAATAAAAAGTTTATGTATCGTACGTCAATGGAAAAGTGGCGACCAGGCAAAGGCAACATTTATTGCCCAAAATGTGGTACTAATAAGCCACCGCTCATCAAAACGCGAACTGAGCGAACCTCAAATAACACTATCGGAGCTGCTTGTCTTTTCAGCTGTTGGCCATTTTGCTGTTTACCATATTGTTGCCCGGGCAATAACAAGGAATACCTGCATTGTTCCAACTGTAAAAACTTTCTTGGTCTATATGATCCTGATCATAATTGCATTCGTCCAAATCGAGATTATGCAGAAGCGATGAATATTGAATCCTAGAATTAAATAGGCAAGAGAACAATGATGCTTCATTTTTTTTTAATTTTCGAAAGGAAAACATGCTGCTGTGAGCGGATACCGTAAGAGTATCTGACTACAAGGGGTAATAAACACTATTTCAAATAAATTTTGTGTACATATTTTTATTTTTATATAAATACAACTCTTTGCGTAATGTACGTATATATAAAAATTCACTGAGTACTTTATTTTATTATACTAAAATTATATGCCATTCACATATTTACATATCAACATATACTATTTTTGTTCTAATAGCTTTTAGAGCTTTTTTTATAAAAAGTACAAAAAGTGGATAATATAAGACTTCGTGTTGAATAGAAATTGAACTCACCACTCTTCATTATAAACAAAAACTGAGCTATGCTAGAGGCAAAAAGTTTAGCTCTACTACCATTACTTAGTGCTGTTTTATAGATGAGATAAGTTCAAATGAATTGAAATTAATAAAAATAACAAAAATATATATAATGGAATATCAAGAAAAAACTTTTGTTCAAAAATAATAATTGCATATATATAAACAAAGTTACTATATCAAAAGTTACTATATTGCAGTACAGATTATATATTTATATTAAGTTCCTGTCTCAGTTTTTTCCTGTAGGCGCCACTTTAGTACTAATATCAGTTTGTTGATCTATAACATTCTCTTTCTGGTCTTCATTTTCTTTAAAATTTTCCGTTTCCTCTTTAATTATATTACGAACTTTCTGAAAACTCTCTGCGCACTCTGCTTGTTTAGCTCTTACAATCAAACTATCTGTTGCTGACTTCTCGCGAGCCCGGTTAGATGTGTACCGATTACAACGGTTTAAAGGTACAAATCGTCCAATATAACAGCCACATTTGCTACAGTAATGATTAATATCAAAACTGCGTTCCCAATTTTTACTTAATAAAAACAAAAAAAAAATTTTATTGCATATTAGAAGAGAAAAAATATTTGCTTATTTACCACAACTTAGTTACGTTTAGAAATCGCTGTAAACAAGTGACAGGTTCCAGTCGAAGAACACTCATTGCCTCAGTTCCGCAGGCTACACAGTTTATAAATGTCGACTGCTTTTGTAAGAAACCTATGTTCTTTAACTCAACCGGTTTTATAACAGGATCGGTATTTAAATCCATTTCTTCACTCGTTTCTACTTCAACAGCCATGCTAAATTGAATTTTATTTAAATTTTTTAAAGTTTTTTGTATCTAACAGAACGAAAATTTCAGATCCACAACTATTGCTTCGAGTTTTGATATTGGACTAAAAATCTTTGGCGTTAAATAAGCTCACCAACTCGCAAATTTTTTAATTTGTTTTAAAAAAAAATATATGATACAATTCATCTTTCAAACTCTTATATATTCTCTTACGAAGGTGCTCTTAAATGCTTACTATAATATCTCTGGTTGGGTGGCAGAGATATTTTGATTTATTTTTGTATTTTTTCTGTTCAGCATTCAATGCATACTTTTGTTTTCACTTCAGAATTTAATTAATTTATTTTGCGTTATTTTATTAAAAGCATAAAAAGATCATTTGTTGATCTTAGTGACCTCACCCGCTTTTCGTTAATGAAATAATTGAATTCCGTGCTGTTTATGGTATTCTTGGTATTTGTAGGGAAATGTCTAATATGCAGTCAATAATTGTACCCTACAATAAAGACTACTATGTACAAGGTATTTAAAGTGCTAGTGATATTTTGTGAAAGATTAAATGTATCTAGGACTTAAATACTTCCCTATTGATTGATGTTCTCACCAGGATGCAATCCAATTGACATTGTAATGAAATGATTATGTAAATAATTAAGGTTTCGTTTAATATCACAAATATCTCAAGTTATCGTTTGCTATTAGTACAATATTTTTAACAGAAAATATATCTCTTATGTACGATATAGATTGACTTGAATTGATATTTCTTTACTATTGCACATAAGTTATATATGTTACGAAGTTATATTAAGGCAGAAAATGTTGCCTTTTTTAAGTCAGAATATCCAAAATAATACCACGCTTTTAAGAGATATCACGGCTGCTTGCATTTTTCAATCTGAACATAAAAAATTCAGCCAAATGGAATATGTGACTGGATCTTTAAATTATATTACCTTATTTTTATGAGCTATAATAGCTTGTTATACTCTACTAATGTATATTATTTCGCAGGTCGGCTACAAATAGCAGTGTACAACACCCTTACTGTATTTTCCAGCTTAATAAAAGATATATCTATTATAATAAATTGGAACATTTCATATCATATTCATAATATATTATCATTGTTTTGATATTTAATATTAGTTATATTACTTTGCCAATTACTTTGCACTAATGAACTGCCATTTTTATTACTATAAAATTATTACTATTAAAACTAAATGAGAGTTTTAAACTATATTAAGAATATCAGCACATCATAACTGTTCAAAACCTGACAGTGATATTATCAAACCCAACCAAGATATAAGAATGAAAGGTGCTTCGGCTATACTTTGTCCGTTAAGGAAACCCTTTGTCTCGACATTCTTGAATTCTAATTTAAAGAAGGCCTAATTTAAATAATCAGTTCTCGATTTCACTCTGCAATTGATGTCGCACTACGATTCGGAAGAGCTTATAATTAATATATATAAATTAATATATATTAACAGTTTGAATAAACCACCTTCACCTCCATTCCATTTATTCTCTCTAATATGTTATTCAGGTAAATTCATTTAACTGAATTATATTTTTCTGTTTAAGATTTGGGTTTTATAATGCCACCAACAGAGCTGATAATATATAAAACTAAATATTTTAATTTAATATTTCATGAATGTATTCTGCTTTAGCCTTGAAGATTTCCATGTTTTATTATTTCCGAAAAATTTTATTTAAATTATATTTCTTCAAGTACGAACATCCTAATAACTAATTCATAAGATATTTTTGGTGTCAATTTACTAATTATTCCAATTATAATATAGCTCAATTAAACATCAGAATTTTGAAAATCTAATTAAAATTCATTTTCACAACGAGTGATATCATCGGACATAAATCATACAATACACGCCATATAATACTATGATGTATCTACATAGTTAGAATAAAAGCATTCAATGTATCTCAGCCAAGTGGAAATTTAAATAAGAGTGTTTATGAGCACACAAAGATAAATATTGATCATCGTTTTACTCCAAATTTCCTCCAAGTATTCCGAAATAGACGCGAAATATGCGAAAGCATATAAATAAATAAATAAACAAAACGTTTTTTGATATATTTTTTTATATGTAATTAAAAAAAAATCAAAATTAATTAGACATTAATTGTAGCACCCGAAAATCATTTAAAATACATAAATAAAATTTAAAATAAGTAAACAATAGCAAATTATTTACAATTGTGGCCGCCTATAGGTACCCAAGTATTCGCCGCATTGCGAGCAGTAATGTTGTCGGGATCCACAACAACGCAGTATGGTTCTCCTCACAGTTGTCTTGGCGGATTGTTTACAGTAAGGACAGGTGACCTCATGAGATTTCGGCCCAACAGCAAAGTAGGCGGGATTGGGTGGTTGTTGGACCATTACTAAAATGAAAATGCAAAAAAAAAATAAATATTAAAATTGTATACGACGCCAATTCAAGAGACTGATTTTTTACTAAAAACTATAAATATTTAATTACCTGAATTTATATTAAATTTTGTTGGACTGTGCGTATTTCTGCCAAAATTTCTTCACTGTTGAGTGGTCAAATATCAACTGCAAGTGCCCTCAACAAACTGGGAGATACAATTTAAAGAGCAAATTTGTGAAGAATTTGAATAGATTTGTGTTAAGAGCTAAAAGGTGTTGCCGGTTTCGGTTAATTTGTTTAAAATTATTGTACTCCAAAGAGAAGCAATTTTGATTCATCTCAGTAAGACAGCATTATTTGTATTGAAAAAAAATTTCAAAAATGTATCTAAACACACATAGACATTAAATATTATGTCACATGTGAGATTGTTTAGTCTTTCTGTTGTCATAGCTTTTATTCTGCTTTCTGCTTTTTACTTTTACCTTTTTTAGTTTATTTAATAAAAATAAAAAAGAAGACTTAAAAATGTATTTTAAATAAATTTTAAAGCTTTTGTATGTTAATCATTTTATTATTATTATAAAAAATATAAAATACAATGAATATTTAGTTAATATATAAAAAGAATTGTCTGAGAAGAGAGCGAGCGACAAATGTATAAAAACAAATATGTGGAAAATAATCAATATTTTGTTAGACTCGAATATAATTTTTAAATATAACTACAAAATTTTGGAATACTTATGTTGCATGACCTTATAACAGGAGACTAGATACACGATCTATATCTGAAACCTGGAAAAAATACCAGTATGAATAATAAAGGAAAAGCTATAAGTATTACTATAACCGATTATAACTTTCTGTAGCATCCTCGGAGTATACTTAATAAAAATTCTTAATAACATGTCAAAAAATATATTGGTTCCAGTGACAGCTGTATTAAAGCAAAATTAATTGTGGTACTGAGCACCTTAGTTTGGTAAAAGCCTTAATTAATGTTAATTACTTCCAAGTGAAATATATTATTAAACATATTTTATTAGTGTTTAGTGTCTGTGTTTTTTAATGTAAATTCTACTTAACTACTTCTAGTACATCAAGTATTGTGAAATGATACTTGATATGAGGATCGAGGAAACTCCTTATATTTAATATTAACAAAAATATATAGTACTATATCAAACTCTACTCGATAATAATATAGAGTCGATTTTTATCTTAAGTTGCATATGAAAAAGGCAGTAGTTATCTCGCTTCCACAAGTTTTGTAGCTTTCGTTTCCATGATGTTTTTGAACGTCCTATTTTTCGTCTACCTTGTGAATTCCAATCCAGCGTTCGACATTGGTTAGATATTGCATGTTTGATTGTTTTGATACCTTGTATGTCAATAATTATCACTACTTCACTTCCGTGAGACTTTTTCTTTACGGACTACTTACTTGATTAGTCCTCCACTGATAATCCTGGTTTAACGAATTAAAGTAAGAATGGGTTTTTGCATACATAATATTTCTTTAGTAAAAAAATTAAAATAAATTAATTGTGAAATAATTCATATTCGGTTAATTAATTAATTACGTTAATTAATGTTTGAAATTCAAGGAATGGTACAAGTTTCCTTAGAATATAAACACTTGATGTATAACGCGTTTGCTGTTACTTTTTCTGGTTTTAATCAATTTATTATTAATCAAGTATCATTCTCATATAGATAAACATCGAATATAATACATAATATTACTATGCACTGAATGACTATTCTTTTAAATTGGTATTTCTATATGTGTGGATATATATAATATATCTAGAGATTTATATATCTCTAAATATTTTAATAATTTTTTTTTTGCAATAACCAAATTTTTTCCTAAGTGAATTATTTATTTATTTTCCCTATGCTTAATATACAAAATAAAAATTAAAAAAGCTTTTTTTTAAACCACTTGCGATTTTTTTATTAATTTGTTTTGACTAAATCAAAATTAACATTTTGGAAAACATTTAAAATACAAAATTCCACTTTTCTTCAATTCAATTGATCTTATTTTTTCTTCGGTGTGATGTGTCGATGTTTCATATAACGTCCAAAATAGCACCCACAATTCTTGCAGTAATGATTTCGGTCGGTTTGTTTACAAGGAAAATAATAATTAAAACAGCAGCAACAACAAAATGTTCTAAACAATATATCAGAAATTAAAATCAGTTTAATTATATCTTATTCCAAAATTATATTTATTCTAACCGATGTATATAAATATATATATCAAAATATCAATTTTTAATTTTTATTATTATATATATTTAAAACTTACATAAAAAGGCAGCCAAAAATTCGATTTATTTCATTGGCCCACCATTTAAGTTCGTTCTCGACTTGTGTTTGTTCAGTTATTCCACACGAAGGACACTTTATAACCACGGGCTCCTTCGGTAAATTTAGATAAGTTCCTATCAGTGGTGTTGCAAAATTATTGTATATATCATTTTCTCGTTTTTCTTCAGCGGCGATTTGTTTTGCTCTCATTTGTTCTTCTGTGGATGCCATAATTATATAATTTTTTTTTCCTTTTTTATTATAATTATTTTGTTTTTATTATATGTTTTTATTTTAAATGGGAAAGAAACTACATTTAAATCAAAAAGTAAACAAGCGATATTCTTCTTCACATCTATAGATTTAAATTATTACTGAAATCAAATTTAGCGAGAACGCAATATTTTGTTTGGGTATAAGTAAAAATTTTAAAGAGTACACAATGGACAACTCTCTGAAATTCATGATTTAAGAACAACCGTAAGAGTTACAACACAAGTTTTATGCTCTAATTAAATTACTTATTTTTGTACCGATAACATACATATATGATTATTAGTTTTATATATCATAATAAATATTTTTTTTCTTTATGGTTAATATGGATTTAATAGTCTTCCAAAGTTAAAGGTACTACTAATAACTCTTTGTTATATGCGCGGCAACTTTATGGCAACCGGTTTAACTTAAAACAAAAAATAATAATAAAAATGTTTTAAAAAATGTTTGTTAAAACAATAACCATTTATTTGAACACTTCTCACAAGAGATAATTTTTGTTAGCTTTATTGTCTATTTTTTTAGGATGGGTATGATCCCATCCCAACATTCCCAAATTCTACGCAAATAAATTAAGAAAATAACAGCAGCGATAGAGTTGAAAACACAACAATAACACATAAGTATATGTCCAGCTCTTAATATTTAATGCAAGCATCTAGAAACCTTTGTAAAAATATTTGAAAAAAAAAACTGACCCGATTTTAAATGAAAACTTATACAGAAGACGATATAGTTCAGAATTTGAATAATTTTCAAGCATGTTAACAAGTTATATATATTTTTTAAAGTAACAATATATATGATGGCTTACATACATAATGTACATGAAAAAGGACAATTTTTTAAGGAAGATCTAATAAGGAGATGATAACGCGACAAAGTTAGATACAGTTGAAAAAGTCTTAAAGAAGGTAAACATCCTGACACAGTCAAATATTGGAAAAACCAAAGATTGTGACATTAATAAGTGCTTAAAATATATTTAAATCTCAACATAATTGCAGTTCCTTAATTGTTTAAGTAATCAAAGGAACAAGTACAGAAATCATCTCTGTAAGGTAATATAATTTTATATACATTACCCTTGTAACCTGCATCCTTATTAATAAAAATTGAAGGTTTGATGCATCTTCAAAATTCTCAATGGTAAAAAATTGGTTGACCCAATGGCCGCTGAAAATGCTTTGACTAAGTTTTTCGCCAATAAATCACAGGAGCTTTACACTGATGGAATTCTGAAACCACTTGAAATATGGTAAGAGGTCATAAATAGTTATAGCTAATATATACTGAATAAAAATTGATATTCAATAAATAAAATTTTAGTTCAAGAATGTACAAAAAAACGCGTATAACTTTAATATCACCCAATATTTGCATATATATTTGGAAGCCCTATTGACTGCCCTAATGTCAGTATACTGAAGAGATCTACCTACTTCCTTATTAATAAAATTGATGTTCATACGACTATTCAATGCTGTGGAACATTCTAACTAAAGCCTTTAATAATTGATTTTGAGGATTGTCTGTTAGTATATTTTAACCACTTAAAATATTATTTTAATAGTTTTTCAAATACACATTAATTTTTTAATTGAACTCTATTTGATCTATTAAATAACATCACTGATAACTTAATGTTGACAGTTTATTTAATTTTAAAAAATAATACAATATAGTCCAAATGCATACATCAAAATATCTGAATAAAATTAAAATCGATTGGAATTTCTTCTATGTTTATAAGTTTATATGTAAATAAAATATAATATTTCCATAATATAAAAAAAAACTTTATATTTTTTGTAGAATTTTTTCGCTATGTTTAGTTTTGTTGAATACCCAGTTTTCCTCCACACTTATTGCAGTAGCAGTCCTTTGTACTGCATTCTTGATTACAACCACACCAAGTACATAGACAACATATCCAAAATATGGGAAAACAGCTATTAATAAATGAAAAAATTTTATAACGTACTATATTCCTATATAACTACATATATTAGAACTATATTACTATATTGTTTGTTTCATTGATTCCAATAGGTTTCTTTTGTACTTACCAAGACAACATGGATAAACAACAGCTAATATCTTTAAAACCACCTTTACGCAGAACAGCTGCATTGCCATCTTGTCTGCACAAAGGGCAACGAATACGATATGTTGAAGGTCCTACAGCATAGTAGCGTAAACGTGGTTGTTCCTCCGACTTTGTTTCACCCAACTTTGAAACTTTGGTTGTTATGATGGCGTCATCAATGTATGGCAGTGTTGAACCGTGACCATCGATAACAACATTAGCTATTATATTTTGTTTCTGCTCCTCAACTGTTTCAGCGGGCACTAGCTTGATGTGTATAATTGATGTTTCCGTAACTGCAGCCATAGTAGAAACACAACCTCTAATGCTGGAATCGCGTAATAACACTATTTCATTAAGCAATTCGGTGAGCTGGGCTGAGTGCATGATCGTCTACATGTTCTTCTCATTTACTCTTAACTAGAATTTCATATCAAGAGTTTTTCAAAAATTAAGAGCTGATATTTTTTCGGGATTCATAAAAGTGAACGAGTTTCTTTCCATTTCGTGTATTCTTAATTTATGTGGTATGAGTATAAGATATTTATAATTGAAATAAAAATATTCCAAACTTAGTTTTTTATGTGTATTCTTTATGATATCATGCAAAAAGTGTACACTTGATTTTTATTATATATTCTTGCCCAACACAAAAAATATTACGCGTTTCTCTCATTAATAAAGTAAAAAAAAATATATTTGTATATATAAAAATATTTATTTAAACATTTTAATGCTTTCTAAAAGTATTGCAGAAAAAAAAATAATATAATTGTCATTATTAACTTTTTTTATTAAAATTAAAAAAATTTGAATAAACAAACTATGCATTTTCCTTGACTTTCAAATGTTTTCGTTTATTTTTATCTAACTGTTCTTTTTGTATCTTATTAAATTTTTGCCATCGACCTGCTTCTTCGACATCAGATCGTTGGATTTTGAAGAGTTTGCGTTTGTACCAGCTAAGACTTATAAAACGCCCGATATAACAACCACATTTGCTGCAATAATGGTTCACATCATAGCGTCCTTCCCATCTTATAGGATTACTAGAGAAATTAGAATTAATTTTAAATATTTTCTAGTCCAAATTAAAAAGGTTTTAAAAAGTATTTAAATTATAAAGATATATTTTAAAATTATATTAAACTAATTTATAAAATTAAATGTATCATCTGATAACTTCGTAGGATGACACACTGATAGCTCGACTAATGAAATCTCTATATAAATATTAAAAAAGTGGCAACTTGCAGATAATACATGACATTTGAACGAATAAGCATTTAATTATAGCTTTAACTACTTTTATGTGAAACTTTTTATATTTTTAGAACAATGGATTCAAAATATTTTCGTAACTAATCATTGCTTGGATTAAAAAGTGCTACTTGAACTCTGCTCCATCGAAACTAATGATAGAGATAGTTTGCTTACTTTAACCTATGATGGTATTTATCCAAAAGAGGTGGTGAGACCAAAAAACATCAAAAAATTCCACAAACCCTAACGTGAAGTTCCAGGATATAGGTAAGGTTAGATTCAAAAGGAGCGTGCTGACAGTTGCAGGATAAAGGTGACATCTCAAAAATTTCAAAGGAACCTATCGACTTCATTTTCTATATACATAAGTCTATTATTATAATTACTTTTGGAGTAGGTGTACTAGTCAGCGTTTGCTGACATGTCAATGAATAATGAGATATTGATAATAATGAGATAAAAAGAGTTTTTTGCATCGTTCATCGTCGGCATGTAACGATGACCGAAGGTCTGATCTACCAACTCACTCCAGAGTTCAATCAGCAATTAGCCAAAAAAACAAATCCGTCGAATCTCGTCCAAAGCGGTCAAAAACACAACACACATTTGGTAAGGTTATGGCATCCGTATTTTAGAATACTAACAATAGCAATTACTACATGGCCCTGCTGGGGAGTTTGAAGAACAAAATTATGAAACAATAGCTTCATATGAAGTAGAAAAAATCTTTTTTCACCCACTATATTTGCTAAATTTCGACCCCAGCAATAACTACCTGTGGGGCAAACCTCATAGAAACACTTTAGGGAAAGAGATTTGGCTCAGGAACTGCGGCATATTTTAAAGCTAAGGAGCAATTACTTTCTACGACAGAGATATCGAAATGTTAGGAAAGCGCTAGAATGATTTTAATATTCTTGAAGCAAACTAAGTTGAGAAATAAAGTCAAATTTTGCCAAAGTTATTATTTTATCGGTTATCCTATAGCTGCAACTAATATGTGTTTGTTTACGATATCGTTGTAAGCATACAACATTTAGTAGTTCATCATAGAGGCTTCGTTGGAGTCTCTATGAAAAACTTTTTAATTTTAGGGATTTAACCTCTAACCTATCTGGTTACACGAATGGAAGAGAAGTAAGTCTGTACGATTTTAACATAGTATGACATGATGATATTTCCGGAAAGATAAAATAATATCATTTTATATTAAATTAATATATCATTTTCATTGATTTTATATCAATTTATGTTTAAGTAATTATTATTTGCATTCTTAACACTTTGCACACTTTAGACACCAGTGAGACACTAACAGGTTCATCCACAAAATAACGAGGAGATGATGATGAACAAAAGCTCGTATAAAAACCGAAAATAGAAACAATTTGCTTCAAACAATTTGACTTACCAACAACAACAAAAGTTAATGACTGCAACAATTTTTTGTAAAATCGTTACAGCATCTTGTTCCACCTTTGTCAAATTGGATTGATGACATGCTGGGCAATCAATTTCTGTTGGTTCCTTTAGCAAATGTCCGATATTTTGTGGCATAAAAGATGCTGGATTATCAACCTCCACTGTGCTATCGGTACCCGTTCCATCATTGATCGAATCATTTGTTGCGTCTTCCGTCGACATGTTAATAATATATATTTATATTTAAAAAACTTTAGTCTTATAATAAACAAATAAATGAAATAAAATTGTAAAAATTTTGAACGTTATTACTTTCGGCGAATTTGATCAAAAACTAAAAAAGTGAATACATTTTTTCATTAGCGACGTCAAGAGCGACGAAAAATGAGCAACTGCTCAGCTTTTGGATTATTGTGATGAATCACGACGATCAAAAGAGATCTCGTGGAGAAATGTTTGTGAATGTTTAAGAAACTAGAAATAGAGAAATGAACACAAAAAATGTATCTAAAGAAAATGTTTTCGTAAAATGACAAATTTACTTTTAGATAGAAATTCGCTGATTTTTGATTAAGTTAAACTTTTTATAAACTTTTTTCATTTATTGCAGATGAGACTTATAATTTGTTCAACGTATAAAAATAGCAAAGTATCTCACACACTTGTTAGTATTTAATGAACTTGAAACGATATATTGAAACGAAATTTCGCGTTCCTACATTTCCAATTTTAAATTTTTTGGCACATATTGATTCTTACCACTTTCATATAAAAAAAAACAAATCAAAAACGCCAAATGAACAAAAAAACAGTTTTTGTGTATATAAAAGTATTTTTAATAAAATAGTTTACATTTTGCTTTAAATTAAAGAATTGAAATTTTGAGATACAATATAATTTTACATTATTTTACGATGGCCGCCAATAATACCCCAAATAACCGCCGCAGGTATTGCAAAACATACGCTTACTTTTAAGACGACTCTGGAGACAAAAGTACACGAAGGATAAGGAAAAAATTGGAAAACAGCTGTAAATGAGCACATATAAAATAGAGGTTTTGATATTTTCTACTCCAAAACTAACTTACCATGAAAGCGTAGATAATAGACAACTGAGTTGACCCAAAGCGCCGGCCATTTGTACAGTTTCGGTATCCGCACGTTGTTTACACAA